ATCGTCTTGCAGGTTTTTCGTCCCGCAAGACAATCATCTAACGAGGCATCACTGTATTCTCATGAAAGCTTGTACAGTTCCCGTGTTCTTACTTTTTGCATGCTTGATTTTACCTTTCTGTTTGGCCTAGTAAAGTACCATCTACGTACCGATTTTGGAATGCTGATTCCAGGGACTGTTCTGAGGACGGGTTTATCCCATGGCAGTAATCCGCCTAGCCATATTTTCTTTGCAGAACAGGAGACAGTAGGAATTCAAATGTTTAGACTTCTGTCTCTCAGATCCAGTAATTATCTCCTTCTAATTAGGGACTTGGCTTTTGCCTCTGTGAGCCTTTTCTCCCCAAAGTGTAATCACAGGCCTCTGAAATACTCTAGATGCCTTTGGCATCACCCTCAGAAGAAAGAGCAGGAACCATTACTGGATTTTCTGCATCTGGAAGCAGGGGAGGGTAATGGTCTGCTACTGAACCCCTTATTCCTCAAAAGTAGAGCTTGTGAGTTTGACCTGTCTTTATTCACGAGAAGGAAACTGTTAGTACGAACAGGACAAGAATTGCTAAGTCCTAATTCTTGAAAATTATAAAAACTGGGGTGATGGATTTTGGGAGAGAATCTGGGGTGGAAAAATAAGGTGGGGTCCTCATGATCTGATTGAAAGTTCTTGAAGATATTCTGATCATCTGCTGTGGGAAACCAAATTCTAGACTTGATGGACTTTGTTCTCCTCTCTTCGAGCAGGGTGACGGTAAGCAACATGTGACCTGTAGGTTCCTGCTACTGCTGCAGGCAATTTCTCACCGATTCTGCCGGGACAGGAAATGTTAGGAACTTGACTGACCCTGCAGTAGAAAAAGGGGGATAGTTATGACTTTATTTTATCATGAAAGTTGACACCCCTCCACTTGGTGAACAAAGTGGAAAGAGGTTCGGAATTCGCCAGATTGAAGATAGGTATGTTGCTGTTGTTGTTGTTGTTAAATAGTGGTAAAGCAGCACTTTAGTATTCTTTACCTCTCCTATTTTTGTTTGTACTTTTTATCTTTTTTTTTTTAAAAAAAAGCATTGCAGCTCTTTAAAAAAAGCTTTATTATGGGTTGGTGTTTGGATTCTAAAAAAATACTTTTGTGGTTATCTTGATCAGTTTGGGATGTATATTCATATTCTTAGGGACTTGCTTCTCCTTCCTAAGATGCACAACCTAGATTGTTGCTGGAACAGGAGAATGTGCGTCTCTGCAAGATTCTCCTGCTGTGTTGTGCATTCAGGATCTTTACCATTTGTCATCAGGTCTGCCTCTGAGTACAAAACTGAATTGGGGAAATATATCTGCAAAGAAATTATTTATGTTATTGTTCTAGCTGTGCATAAACTGGCCTTGTGTACCATGTTGCTTTTCATTGTTTCTTTTAAGCAGACATGAAAAAAGAACATCTTTTGGGATGAGTGGTTTATGCGCTCTTTCTGAGCAGTACTTGACTTTTGAGTAAAATGCACAGACCTGGGGGGAAGCACACCGTTAGAACTTTTTAAGAAACCTGTCCTGTGCAATTTATTGGTGATGAATTATTTTAACAGTTAGTTCTTCTGAGTCAAAACAGGGCTATATTTTCAAAGGAGTATTTTGAACTGCAGGATAACTTCATGGTTTAGGTCTCTCTGGCTGTGGAGTCAGAAGTTGAGGGCTCAGTTCCCTACTGTGCCTCCTTGACAGACTCAATGATCCACAGCGT